CCCCAAAACCCCAAAACCCCAAAACCCCAAAACCCCATAAAATTTCAATTAGATTGAAATATTTAAAAACCAAAAAGATGTATCTTGGCTAGTAGAAGTCAAACTTTTCTATACCACTGGCATGACCACAAGGTTGGCTTGTGAATGAAATGTAAGTAAGATTAGCATTTCAGGTGTCAGACCTAAGGGATTATCCCGGTTGAGTCTTTCAGATGAGAGTTTCAGAAGACCTTCGATCTCCTTTATGTTGTTGAAGAGTAATCTGGTCAGTTGTGGTTTGAGTCTGATTTCCCTAAAGCTCAACAGGGTCTTCAAGATTATTATGGAAAGTTAGAAGAGTTTATGACCAAGAGGTTGAAAGCCATTGATCAAGATAATTTTTCTCTCTTTAGATCAGCATGAGGGAGCTATTAATGAGCTTAGAATAGAGATGGTGACGGAGTGATGGTCAAGTTAATTAATCATTGGTCCATGCCTTTTCACCTATTCTTATAAGTATCGTTCTATTTTCGAAGACTCTTTTAATAAAAGTTTAAGATACTCATTTTGAAGAAAAAAATTATCCGAGCATGATCCTCTGCTTATCTGCAATGCCAACTCCGGATTCAATATTGATATATATCTCACAGACTGCTTACTAATTTCTAAAGATGTGTAAAGCTTTTGATGATGAAAGAATTTGATAGAAAGAAATTTGAAATCTAGTGATAAGGATACACTATAAGAATTTATTAAAACCTTAAAAATAATAAATCTTCAGTAAGAAGTTAAGATTTAGACAAATTTTATTTTCCAAAACAGTATTTCCTACTAAAAATCCTAGGAGTATCAATCAAGGGACAATTTTTTATCAAAATTCGACTAATATTGAATTTGGTGCCAAATTAGTTCAGAATTCTATCAGATTCTTATTTTTCTTCTTCATTTATACACCGAAAGCTCTTCGTTGACATTGACCATGAACCAAGGCTATTTGACCAATAAATCTCCTCTATAAGAGTTACATAAAGTTCATAATTGTATTAGGAATAATAGAAATTTATACAGAAATTAGACTAATTTTAGGCATCTTGGAGACTGAAATTGAAGTCTATGTGCTCAAGATCGTATGATTTCTGAATCCTTTCGAGTTTTTGTTGTGAGCATTCAAGAGTTGGAAAATGAAAAGTCATCAGACTGTTCTTAATAGGAGAGATGTTCAACTTCCATAATCACTTTTCAACGGTTATCTCGTTCTCTTGCTGGATGAAACAATTCTGGAAGTCTATCTTTTCTATAATGAGTTTTTGGCTGGGGTTTACTTCAAGGAATGGCTTTGAATGCGAGATTTCGCAGGCACTGAAGTCCAAAACTTGGCAACTTTCAGAATCAAAACCTTTTATAATATCATTTATTTCGATGATAAAGTTTTCAAACAGTCAATGCGAAGCCTTTCACTTATTCAAAAATATTTTGAGAGGATATAAAATGTCTCATATCGAAATAACAGAAGGATACTGGTTTCCAGAATCTTGTCCATAAATTCTTAAGGAAGGAATCTCAGCAAAATTGGCTTGGGTCATAAAGTTTACTAAAGTATTCTCATGACTCTCTTCTGTCTTAAGTTTCCCATCTTCGAAAACTATTTCTAGTGTCAACTGCGAGATCTTTGAGAAAGTGAAATCTATTTTAACCAATTTCTTCATAAACTCAAGGGCTCTAGGTTCGTCTGTTCTGAGTTCAAGTTTTAGGTCTGAAACATTGCCTGGATCATTACCTAAATATTCTGAGAGGAGCTTCTTCGAAAGGAAGACATTTCAGGCACTGGTCAGAATATTCATGAATGGTTGAATCTCCTTGGTATTTTGGGGATTATTAAACTTCGCCGGGTCCTTCTGTACTTCAGTGACGTCAAGTCCAATTGTAGAAAACTGGGAGCCACCGATCTTATGTATATAATCTTGGTTTGAAATGTTCCCAGGAAACTCAGAAGTTTGTAGGTCTTCATTGGTGGAAAGAGTTTTGTACTTAAAGTAGAAGAAAGCCCACTGCTTTATGGTTTTTTCATGTTCAAATTTGTTTCTGAGTTCAAGTATCTCTTCTTTTACTTTAACAATTTCTGGGATTATTAATCGGCTCTGTGCTCCAATAAGATGTTCATCGATTTCCAAACATCTTTCTCGAAACTTTTGCACTATATCATGAAGTCCAGCAGTATGATCACTAAATTTTTACTTTTAAATCAACCGTCTCCACCTTATCAAGTAACTTCTTCACAATATCAAGCTGTTCATGGAGTTCTTTTACTGGAGGAAGTTCAATCCACTCACACGAGTTATGGTATTTTATGAAGCAATTCCCTCATAGGTTCAGGCCATGGTCCTTGCAAAAGCCTTTTATGGTATGTGTACAGAAATTACTGTGACAGTTCATATTTTTGGGAAGTAGAGGGGTAAGATATGAGGAAGCTAAGTTTTTAGGTGGAGTGAGGAGAGTAGAGAGGGTGTAATGTGGCGAAATGTAGGAAATAAGTATAATTGGGGTTTTGTGAGAGGATTATGAGTTGATTTTTATGATTTTTTATTAGATATATTTTTATCAGTTTACAACCCCTATTCATTATCTTGGGGTTTTGGGGTTTTGGGGTTTTGGGGTTTTGGGG